ATGGAGGGCTCCATCTGGGCAAGATCAACAGGTATTTCGTCGAGCGTTATTCCTTCAACCCAGACTGCACGGTCATTCCGTCGACGGGAGACAACCCGTCCACCATCCTCGCTCTCCCCCTTAAGCCGTCGGATGCGATGGTGTCGCTTGGTACCTCGACTACCTTCCTCATGTCTACTCCGAACTACAAACCAGACCCGGCCACCCACTTTTTCAACCACCCGACGACTCCGGGACTGTACATGTTCATGCTCTGCTACAAGAACGGAGGGCTGGCTCGGGAGCAGGTGCGCGATGCGATCAATGAAAAGGTGGGCAAGGACGCATCGGCGGGACCGTGGGCCAACTTCGACAAGGCCACGCTCGAAACACCGGCCATGGGTCAGAAGACGGAATCCGATCCGATGAAGATGGGTCTTTTCTTTCCACGACCGGAAATCGTGCCCAACGTTCGCGCAGGGCAATGGCGGTTCAACTACAACCCCAAGGATCAGAGCTTAACCGAGACCGACGCCGGCTGGGATCGGCCGTGGGATGAAGCGCGCGCCATTGTCGAGAGTCAGATGCTGTCCCTTCGTCTCCGATCGCGAGGGCTCACGCAAAGCCCTGCAGAAGGCATTCCACCTCAGCCGAGGCGGGTGTATCTTGTCGGGGGAGGATCGAGAAACAGAGCCATCGCCAAGGTCGCCGGGGAGATCCTGGGCGGTTACGACGGAGTGTACAAGCTCGATGTCGGGGAAAATGCGTGCGCCTTAGGAGCGGCCTATAAGGCAGTGTGGGCCATCGAGCGACAGCCCGGCCAGACCTTTGAAGACCTAATCGGGAGACGATGGAAAGAGGAGGAGTTCATCGAGAAAATCGCAGACGGTTACCAGAAGGGTGTTTTTGAAAAATACGGCGTTGCCGTGGAAGGCTTTGAGCGGATGGAGCAGCAGGTCCTGCAGCAGGAATCGAGCAAACTAGGGAAAACAGACCACAAGTAACCGTCCCGGTGTCTTTGATGACGCCTAGTTAGGAAACGACCTTATGACCTCACAGTACATAGTTTGGATGATTTGCCGGGCCCCACGTGATCGAGACGCCCGCCCTGGTGGACGGTGCCTATTGTAGATTGACTTCTCAATATATATATATATAATATATACATAACCTCCCAGATACAGTAATAATATAGTACTATAATAGTGATTGCTGAGCTGTTGTTATCTGGAAGTATTATTATGATGCCCGGATCTGCCAATCACCGGGTGGGCCTTAGGGCCCGGAGCTTGGGGCACGTCCACCGTTGCCCTTTTGGGCAGCCGTCAAAACGTTTTCCTGCGGGCGCCAAGGTCTCTCTTTCCACAAAAAAAAACTGCCGATGGTTATTTGATTCTTTCCACCCTCTTTGTGCGTAGTAGACCTGCTTCCCACTCCGGTCCCATAGCGAGCTTTTTTTCTGGCGATCGGCAAGATCTTTCTTCCGCCGTGGCTGGGACTAACTGCAGCAGTCCCTCGTCACCGCCCGTGCAGACTCCTGTAACTAACGCCCATGGCTCGGGGACTTGGCTCGCAATGATATGATCCCTCCCGTCGATGGTTTTGAAAACGACGCCCTCTTGCCACGCCGACCCCTAGCATCTGTACCAAGTTATCGCGAGATTTTCACTGCCTTGAGAGTCCGCAAGACTCGACAAGGCAGCTTGGCTGGTCGAAGATGGAGGATCAGGTAGGCATTTTGTCCCTGTGTCGTGTTGCAACTCACCGCAGCCCCGCCCCCTCCGTCATCGGCACCTTGCGCACACAGACAGCGGTGCACTAACCAGAGCCTCTGGACAGGTAGCAAATGCCATCGAGATTGCCTGGAACCCTTCCTCGGACCAAGCCATTAAAGCGCAGGCCTTTGACTACCTCAACCAGCTCCGCTCGGACCCGTCGGGATGGCAGGTCTGTCTGTCCATCTTCACCAAGACCCCTCGTCACTCCGAGATCGTCCGCCATGTCGCTCTGGAAGTGGTCAATAGCGCAGCTCAGGCGGGTCTGATTGACCTCCAGGGGCTGGAGTTTGTCAAGGACAGCTTGATGGCGTATTTGCGTCAGGTCTACGGAAGTGAAGGCACCACCCCCGACGCCGCCAACATCCAGAACAAGATCGCTCAGACCATAACGTACCTGTTCTCTGCGCTCTATGGAAGCGGATGGGAAAGTTTCTTCGATGACCTTCTAAGCTTGACGAGCAAAACTCCGTCCTCGAACCTGCGCGACAACCCCCTCGGAATCGTATTCTATCTTCGAGTCATAAATTCGATTCACGATGAGATCGGCGATGTTCTGGTATCACGATCCCGTGCGGAGCAGGACAAGGCAAACACTCTGAAAGATCTGATTCGGCAGAGGGATGTGCAAAAGATCGTCAACTCCTGGCAGGAGATCTTGTCGCAGTGGCGAGACGGGAACGATCAGATAGTGGAAATGACGCTCAAGGCCATTGGTAGTTGGGTCAGTTGGATAGATATCGGCCTGGTTGTTAATCAGTCAATGTTGGACCTCTTGTTTCAGCAGCTGTCTCGCGCCCAGAAGGCGGATCTTAGGGAAGGAGAAGAGAAGGTGCGGGATGCCGCCATTGACGTATTCACCGAGATCGTCGGCAAGAAGATGAGGCCTGAGGATAAGATCGATATGATTATCTTCCTGAATCTAGACAACATCGTCACCCAGCTTTCCAACAGCCCTCCACTGCACGATAATAGGTTCACCTTTAAGTACGATACAGACCTCGCTGAAACGGTGGCGAAGCTAATCAATATCACCGTCATCGATATCGTTCGTGCATTGGATAATGATGCTGTCGCTGTTCAGACGAAAGAGAAGGCGAGCAACCTTCTTCAGTCCTTCCTTACGCACGTGCTTCGATTTTTCTCCGATGAATATGATGAGATTTGCTCAACGATCATCCCCTGTGTGACGGAGCTCTTGACCTATTCCAGAAAAGTGTCCAAGTCAAATCCGTCCGTGAGCGCTCAGCATTCTACAATGCTGCTGCCTATATTGAAGGCCATCATCGCGAAGATGAGATATGACGAGACTTCCTCATGGGGGGAGGAGGATGAGCAAACCGATGAGGCGGAGTTTCAGGAGCTCCGGAAAAGACTACATGTTCTGCAGCAGATCATCGCTGCGGCTAACGAGCAACTGTACATGGATGCCATCTCCGAGGTTGTCGGCACAACATTTGAAAATCTACGCCAGTCAGGGGGCCAGTTGGATTGGCGCGATCTCGATCTCGCCTTGCACGAGATGTTCTTGTTTGGTGATCTCGCCGTCAAGTCCGGCGGTCTGTACACCAAGAATAAGCCAAACAATGCTGCTGCCGAGAGGCTGATCGAGATGATGCTAAGGATGGTTGAATCCGGTATGTCTCTTTATGCTCATCATGAATGTGGTGTTTTCAGGCTAAGACGTCATAGACATCAGGTCGTTCACTCATCCGGCAACTCAGCTGCAGTATATGGAAATCTGCGTCCGGTACAGTTCTTTCTTTGAGCACCACACCCACCTTATCCCTGGCGTCCTGGAGAGCTTTCTCCAACTTGTTCATCACCCTGTCAAGAGGGTGAAGACCCGATCATGGTACCTGTTCCAACGCTTAGTGAAGCATCTCCGATCCCACATCGGTAACGTGGCCCAAACTGTCATCGAGGCTTTGGGTGATCTACTGGTTATCCAAGCAGAAGTTCCATCTGAAAGAGCCGATGGGGATGAGATGTCCTCCGAAGACCATGAGAGCCAGGCCGATACTGTTTTCAATAGTCAGCTGTACCTTTTCGAAGCAGTCGGTTCGCTGTGCTCGACAGCTGCTGTTCCGGCGGACAAGCAGGTCGTTTATGCTCAAACCGTGATGAACCCGATCTTCCTTGACATGGAAAGGAATCTGGGGGCTGCCAAGTCAAATGATGAGAGGGCATTGTTGCAAATCCATCACGACATCATGGCCCTCGGAACTCTTGCCCGAGGCTTCTCAGACTGGATGCCAGGAGTCAGCACCCCGTCCAGTGCTCCACCTGCCCCTGAAGTCTCGGAAGCCTTTGGTCAGGTGGCAGAGGCGACCCTTGTCGCTCTTGAATCACTAAAGACATCTTTTAATGTGAGGACCGCAGCGAGATTCGCGTTCTCACGGTTGATCGGAGTTCTTGGGTCGAGGATCCTTCCCCAGCTGCCGAGATGGATCGATGGGCTGTTGACCCAAACATCTTCCAAGGACGAGATGGCATTGTTCTTGCGACTTCTTGATCAAGTCATCTTTGGGTTTAAGACCGAGATATATGCCATCCTTGACACTCTTCTCACGCCCTTCCTGCAGCGAGTATTCTCGGGGATTGCGGATCCAACTAGAGGCACAGATGACGAAATTCAACTCGCGGAACTGAAGCGGGAGTATCTGAGCTTCTTGCTTGCGCTTTTGCACAACGATCTGGGCTCTGTGATCATCAGTCAAGGTAAGAAGATTTGCGCCCGATTCCTGTGCGTTCGTCTTGGCGGTATGGTGCTAACGAGCGCTATCATCCAGCAAACCAATCCATCTTTGAAACGGTCATTTCCACCATCGAACACTTTGCCAAGGACGTTGACGACTTTACGACCGCAAAGATGGCCTTTTCGGTGCTGTCAAAGATGGCCAGTGCCTGGGGAGGTCCAGACATTTCCGCCACTCCGTCGAATGGGGTCACCACGACTCAAGCAGCTCTTCCCGGTTTCAATCAATTCATGTTCACGCGCTTCTCACCGCTGTGCTGGGCACTCCCAAGCACACCGTCGTTCAACCCAAAGGATGCCCAGGCGAGGCAGGTCCTTGCTGAAGCCGGAGGGTTGCAGCATACCATATACTCGAAAACGGGTGCAGAATATGTTGAATACCTTCGCACTAGGGAGCTTCCCAGTATGGGAATGGGATCCGATCTGATTGACGAATACTTGAATGCCCTGACTCAGCTGGACATGAAGGGGTTCCGGGGGTTCTTCCAGGTTTGTTGCCCAGATTTTTTCTGCCATGCTATTTGCTAATACACGCACAGTCATTTATCCAGCGGTTGAGCGCATAATGCTACGTTTATATTACCACTCTACACCCGAGATCATGACGTTCGAAAATGTTGGTTCTTATTTAGATTCCCCTGTTTTCTACATGTCATCTTGACGAGCTGATCCTCCATGTCTTATGCCATTGTTGACCCTTGTTTGATATCCACCTTTTTTTTATTTCATTTCCTTTTTCCTTCTCATCGTACATAGTATCATGTGCATTCTCGGGCGTTTTCCATACAAGCGCTATCTTTTTATTGTGTTGGTGTGGATCAGCCACGGGATTTCAGTGGAGTCTTTTCAAGCGAGAAGCTTGCTATAAAAAACAAAAGCAAAGCCTTGGTGAAAGGAGACGACACGATGATGAAACGCAGCAAAAATGAAAAAAGGAAAAAAGGAACGAAGGAACGGAGGAACGGAGGAAATTTTGGGAGGAAGCCTTAGTTTACTTTACATAGCCGTCAATCAATAGATCGAAGGAATACCTTCATCCAATGTTACTCCATTGACTGACGTATCGTGCAGATGCAGGGTATTATCCCCCTACATATTAATTAAATCAATGTCCTTCCTTTTCTTATAAGAGAGAATTCATGACAAAGTCTGTTCGCATTTCATATATTCATATTATTCACATTATCATAATTCATATCTGCTATATGTTATATGTTATAAATTTCCTAAATAACGGATTTTATATCCGGAGTCTTCTTGCTGTGGCATGAAGAAGAAGAGGAAGAAGAGGAGGAGGAAGAAGCGTCTCTACTGAGTTGTGACGGTCAGGTTAGAACGTGTGGGACACACGAATAATAAAATAGAATAAGAAAAAGGTAAGTAAGTAGTAAGGAGGTAAGGAAAAATTGAGAGAGAAAAAAATATGAAATGAAAATGTCTCGAATATGATAAAGGATCCTGATATACAAATCAATCATGAATGAACCTTTTTCATATTTCATATATATATATATATATTATGCATGTATGTATATATATATATGAAAAGCGAATAAAGAAACAGACAGAAAAAAAAGGGGCAGAGGGAGACGCACTATGCAAAGAGATACTTGGCTGCGTGCTCAATGTGCTCGTCGGAGAAGGTGGCCATGAAGTAGTAGCTGTGGTCGTACTCGGGCTGGTAGCGGACCCTGACGCCCTCGACGCCGGCCTCCTTGGCGGCCTTTTCAAAGTTCTCGGGGAGGAGTTGGCCTTGTTTGTAGAAGTTGTCGCCGGTGCCCTTTACAAAAAGTTAGAATTCATCAGTCTTTTTCCACAATTTACTTTTTGTGTGTTTGATGATGGTGATGGGATTGCTACGTACCACGTCAATGAGAATGTCCACCTTCTGACCCTTCCACTTCTTGATCAGCTCCGTGGCATCGTGCTCCTTCCACTTCTCTAGGTTGTCCTCGCCAAAGTATCCCTTGAAGGCCTTCTGGCCCCAAGGGCAGTTGATGGGGTTGGAGATAGGAGCGAACGCCGAGACGGACTTGTATTTGCCGGGGTTTTTCAAGAACTGTATTGAAGAAGAAGGAAAAAAGAGGGAAATTGTTAGTAAAAGATGCAAATGGATTGAGTCACAGAGGAGGACGAGGGGATACGTACCAGAGTTAGAGCTCCATGACCACCCATGCTGTGGCCCGTGATGCTGACACGGGTTGGGTCGAGTTCCTTGAACGCGGCAAACACCGTCCGCGGCAATTCCTCCGTTATGTAGCTGTACATGTTGTATCCCTTGTTGTACGGGGGCTTGGTGGCATCGACGTAGAAGCCGGCTCCGGTGCCAAAGTCCCACGAATCATTCTCGCCTTCGATGTTCAGGCCGCCTAGGAAGCAACACAACACAGGTTAGACGAGATCGTAAAATGGAAAAAGGATAACATACGAGGGCTGGTATCCGGGTACAGCACCGCAATGCCCCTCTTGCTCGCACCGTGCTGGAAGAAGCCCTTCTCGGAGCAGTTCTCTGCCGTGCAGGTCAGGCCGGACAGGTAGATGAGGACGGGCACTTTCTGGGACGGGTTCTGGATCGCCTGCGGCGGCAGGTACAGGTTGAAGGCCATCTCGCAATTGGTGGTGGTCGCCTGGTGGGTGAGCTTGAGCAGCTTGCCTCCAAAGGAGGCGATGCTCGCCTTTGTCGTCACGGACATTTTCGACTTCGTTCTTTCTGCTGACGAGAAAAAGTCAATGGGGATGGTAAGGTGTTTTCTTCTATGGAATGGATGATAGCAGCGACGAAGATTCGATTGATTGACGATAACAGATAATGAACGATCGACAGTGAAGAAGAAGAACAAGACGATGATGAGACTCCAGCAAGCTTGCTCTGTTTTTCACTTGATGTAATCAGGTGGAGCCGTAGCCGTAGCCGTGAGGGGCTGCGATGAGGGGATGAGGGGCATCATTATTTTTGCTCCCCTCATCAATATAATTACTCCGGAAGATGGTCGCTTTCCGACACCTTTTTTCGACCTAGCCGAGCCAGTGCCAGTGTTCCGATAAATATCGGAAAGTTATTCTGTAACAAGCAAAGGGATGCACGCTACTCCGTTATCAATTTGTGGGGCTGCATTTGATGATCGCCAGAGGAGTACGTCTAGTGTACGGAGTATGCATTACGTCTATTACTATTCGATACAACAGTTTATTAACTATCGAAAGCAAAAATCCATATCTAGCCATTCTTTTTAATCAATAATAACCTCTAACGCCAACCCTCTCACAACGCCAATACCCAAAAACCTCGATGCCAACTTCCAAACGCCGTATACTGCGCCTTCTATGGACTCAGATATACAGGAATACCATAAATCACTGGCGCCGCCCCATTTAGATACTTCAACAGACAAGAGTCTCGTGACTTCGCAACCGCCTCATCGAGGGCAACATCTTGACTAGGCTCGACATCAGGAGAGGCTGCCTTCGTAGCACCCGTTTTCCTCTTGGCGCCTCTGGATTTGATAGCCTGGGCCGCAGGTTCTTCGATGTCGCAAGGCTTGTTTCCTTGCATCAGACCCCATTTCTCAAAAGTGCTTTTCGCAAATCGATCGATATCTTTATCAGTCACGTCCCAAAGTGTAGCCACCAGAGCGGGAGTGCCGGCATGCATGTAGTTCATCGGGGTCCCATAGGGCTCCAGCTCGCCAGCTTCTGTCAGACAGCCGCTGCTACAGCCCATGAGGAATGTGGCTGCGCATTGATCGAGCCGTTTGATCGTGCGACCGCGGATGTATTGAGCGCCACTGCCGTGGCCAAAGTAGAGAAACAGGCTTTTGTTCTCCAATGCTGTCTTGAACTCTTCTTCGGTCGGACTCCGATTGACAATGGCAGACCACCCCTTCATATTGGACAAATCCTCTTCAAAAGTACTTTGTGTCGTTTTCAGGTCTCCACTAGGGTTGAGGATATACGCCCCGTTGCCGCGATCAATTCGGAAATTGTTGGGCAAGTCCTCTGAAGCTGTCTGTCCGAAACGTAGAATCCTATCGCGCAGACATTCTAGAGATGGAACACGGGAAACAGGGAGCCCTTGCAGACACGGCAATGACTCCCATGGAAACAAGTGGAGAGCCTTGTCCAGGATCAGGATCGTATGGTTTGGTCGCATGGGATCCGATTCGCTTCGGGCGGCCTCATGGTAACTCCTCAGGGCGTCGAGAGTATCGACAACCATCATATCGAAATCGATCTCATCGTAGGCATTGCGCTCGCCTTGGAATTGTAGAATATCCACGACAAAGTAAAGTAAGTCCATGATCGAGTCCTCCGGGTTTTCATGGTCATCAAGGTCCTGGAGACCGACAAAAAGCTCGAGTACGTTTTGGTGAAGCTTGACCTTATCTCCCTTGTTGCTGCCGGCCTTGCGTCGCGAGGGAAGATGTTTATTCAGGATGTTTTCAAACGACTTGGCGAATCGTGGCAACAGTTCGGAATCCTGAGTGGCAGAGAAGATGCCCCGGAAGCCTCCTAGCCAGATATTTTCTATGTTGCATAGCAGAGTTTCTAATCGCCGGTCAAGCGACTCACGAGTGGCCCACCATTCCTTCTTGGAGTTCCTGTCCACGCGAGAGCGCGCATCGTGGGCACTCTCGTTGGCAAGTTTGATAATCTCTTTCATTTCCTGCTTGCCTGCGTCAAAGGTAAACTCATCCTCTTCCTCTTCGTCGTCTTCATTGCCTCTTTTGAGGGGCAATCGCAAGAGGAACGGTGTACTGCCGCGGCGAATTTTGGAAATCACGAACTCGGTGCGGTCTGCATTAAGTGAAATGGACACAACATTCCAGTTGGACGGCAAGATGTCGATATATTCTTGGGTAAACTTTGAAACAACGTCCGCCGTTTCGCAGTCCACCAGAGGCGATGTCGGCCAGCTTAAAGAGTCTGAACAGCCAGCAAGTTGTTTATCTATGTCGATAGCCATGCGCTCACGTGCAAAGGCAGTGATGCGACCAAGTTCTGTTGCAGTTAGAAATCTTTCCCCCATTTCTCCCGGGACTACAAAGATTCCATTTCCACTTACCATTTGCGTTGGATGAAGTCAAAGGTCCCTCGTCAATGTGCCCAGGGGTCGTAGCATGCAAAAGCATAGATATGCTGCCCATTAAACGTGACGCAGCATGGCCTTCAATTGTTGATCCAAATGCGGCAGCGCTCTTGACTGTCTCGCAGATAGACATCCTCGCTTTCGACATGACGCTGGAGATGTCAGACTCTTTCTTAGCCGTCTTTGTAGTTCGTGAACGTGGTTCTCTAGTCGTGGTTTTCTGTTTCCTCGCGGTCGACGGGTTCTTCGCTACAGGGGACTTCACCATGTCGAGAACACCGCTTTGTATCGACGGCACAGACAATGTTGATTCCGGCAAGACGCAGTAAACCGCATGAGTTGCAACGCTTCTCAGAGAATCCGCTAGCAGGTGCTTCATCTCTTCTATTTGCAACGAGATCTGACCACCTGTGGAAACGGAGAATTGACGGGCCATGTTCAAGAGTCGGAGGGCTTCATCAAGATTCTGCGTAGCCAACAGATTAGTAGCCTGCTGTCGAAGGATCTCAGTCCTGAACAGCTGGATGGAATGTGACTGAACAGAGTCAGCACATATATCTGTGTCCTTATCCACCCTAGCATTGCTCTTTGAAGGCGCCTTAGTTCTTCGAGAACGACGAGTTGACGTTGAATCGTTTTCTTTCTTGACACTTGGTTTGCGAATTGTCATATCGGCCATCTTCTCCTCTATCCCAAGTTCAGGAGGGATAATACTCAGCGAGGAATCCAACTTGATTTCGGAAACCTCAGCGATGGCCTTTTCAGCGTCACGCAGAACACGAAGAGCCTCGTCATGACGGCCCTGAGCCTTCCTCAGAGCAGCAATGCTGGTTTTTAAAGTCACAATCTCGATGCTGTTATCCATATCCCGAGAAATGTCGACTGCTGCATTCAGGTGATCCTTAGCTTCTGAGATACGATCGCCACGAATCCATTCGAGTCCTAGCTGTGCCTGACAAGCGACCGATCGGAGAGAAGCATCGAGCGACTTGTTTATTTTCAATGCTTGTTCTCCATAGTAAATGGCATCTTGAAGCAGGCCATTATGAGCAGACAGGCGCATGAGATTCATTAAGCAAGAATGATGGGAGACGACGTGAGTCCAAAACACTGCGCCTTCTGAGTAACTCCAAGCCGAAGACGCAGCGCCAGAAAGGTCAAGGTTGGCTACGCCATCGGTCACAAGATCGATCTCCGATTGTTCCTTTGTGACCTGCTCGGAGTCTCTCTTTCTCCCGGATAAACGCTCCAATTTAGCCCAAAGCCTGGAACTTAGTCGCACAGACAACTTAGCAAAAAATAACGCGTTTTTCAGTGACCCTTGGCTATGAGAAATTCGGGAGTATAGAAGAGTCGCATCAATGACGGTCCTTTCCCATGCGAGTTTCGATCGACCGGATTCGCTGGCGATATCTTTCTGGCTTGACCTAGATTCATAAATGGCCTGAGCAGCCAAAAGTGTCTTCTCAGCTTTCGCCGATTCACCAGTCTCGAGCAAATACTCTGCAAGCGCCAAATTGTAGGACACTAATGCGTAGCATGAGATGTTCTGGGTGTTGGCGTAGTGTCCAGCACGATTAAGAAGCGCAAGACATCTCCTGCAATCTCCAAGGCGGCAGTATTGCAATGCACAACGAGACAAGCAAAGAATGACGGCCGAAAAGTCCTTAATAGACTGTAGTTCCATGACGTGAAGAAGTAGTTCTGAAGTTGCTAAGTTGAGTTTCCACAATCCGCGAGCTTCCATATAATCTGAAGCAGCCTTGATCTGGGCAATCCAATGTTCTGGATCGTCAACATGGGATTCGAGAGACTCCCAGTCATCGCATTTCCGTACAAGCAAAATCCACGAGGACACCACCTTCATCAGCTGCTCTTCCTGCACGTCACCTCGGCGGAACGCGAGCACAAGATGTAAAGAATCCTTGATATTGGTTGCAAAGTTTTCCAAGTCCGTATCTTGAGCAAGGCCAGTGTTACTTGAAAGACTTGAGGTTGCATCTTTAACCAATGATTCAGCAACCGCACCGTCGATGGCATTGGGATGTTGCAACGTGAATCGTAATACATAGAGGATAACACGGAGACGACGGATAGGGTGGCGTTCCTGCGAATACAAACAGAGGAGTTCGGAAAGCAGAAGCTGAAGCATTGACCGAAAAGTCTCACTGTCAGCGTCATGGCTTTGAGATTCCACCAGGAGACCCATTTGCCATTCAAGCAAAACGCTTCGCTGTTCGAAGTCCAGGGATTTGTCATCGTAGATGGCCTGCTCATCGCCCTCTCTCCGACGTATCTTGGTTTTGAGATAGGCGGAAAGAACCCGACTAAGTACGAAGCCGGGGCTTTGCGCATTGTGACAATACCGATGAGGTGACCTACCGGCAAGGCTGGCGGCAAATTGTCGAAGTGTTTCAGAGTCAATGTGTTCTTGAATCGATCGTTGTAACGCCGTTACTGATTTTGTACCCATTTTTGCCTCCGAATAAAGGTGTGCAAGTCTCTCGAATTTTAGAGCAGCAAAGCCTGCAGTTCTGTCGGCGGCTGGACAGTTCTGCAATAAGCTAGTTGACTGCTCCAAAAGCGGCAGAAGCTCTGCATACCCTTTTCCAGACTCCTTTTCTTTGAGATATCTTGACCAAAAAATATTGGACAATTTGATAAAAGACGTTCGCCAGTTGTCGTCAACATCCGAATCTTCAGCGAGGTATTTGAGCGTACCAAGGAGGCGTTTGCAGTCGGCAAAGATAGGCACCATGTCCTCCCAGGCAGGGGTCTGTCGTATTACCGACATCTTTCCAACCGCTACCGCGGAGTCGACAGCGGCAACGATGATGTTCTTAGAACTGCGAAGCACTTGCTGCTGCTGTCCCCAAACTTTGCTATCATTATCGTTTTGTGGTTGTCGCCCAACGTAGCGCCTCAGAAACCTGATGAACGCATGCAGGTACTCAACTATACAAGCGCAGATTTCACCGTTGGCACAGGTTGTCTCGTGATTAGCCGAGAAGGAATCGCCAAGATACCCCATAGCTAGCTTCTTCAACTTCGCAGATTCAATGAATAGCTCTTCTAGGTCGTTGGCGCTACCCTTGTTGGAGGATTTCAACGCCGTGGCAGCTTCGCGAAGAGATTGTGTCGCAGCTGCCTGAGGATAATTTTCGGACGATCTAAGACAATGAAAATGAATAGATGCAATTCTGCAGCGAATTGTGCTGATCGATAGTGGCTGGTCGCTAGAAACGGGGGTCACGACGTCCTCGTAGAGCTTCAGTGCTTCTTCAAAACAACCGGCCTCTTGAGCGAGTTTGCCGAGAGAAGAGGCAATTTTCCAAGATACGCTAGCCTTCACGTCTGCTGGCAGCTTCTCATCTTCCTTCGTCATTGCAGCCTGTAGTCGCCGCACAGTTTTGTAAACCATGGCGAACTCCGTTCTGTCAATTCGGGGGCCATTATGAGCAAATCCTTCCAGGTAACGTATTAATAGATCCCAGAATTCTCTTTTAGACTCGCATACATGGCCAGAAACTTTCCACGACATGGTCCGGATTTCGAGCGACAAAAGTTGCAGCGTGAGAGTGGTCACCGGCCGTACTTGGAATTTCGAGGTCGACGAAGCAGCGCTGCTTGATTTCTGGGTTACCGAAGAGAGCGACATTATGTTGTTTGAAAGTGAGAGTAGTTGTAAAGCGGCTTTATCCCTAGACAGACTTCCGGCCTTGAGCGCGTCCATTATGATATTGGCTGGACTGCTCGGATTTGACAGAGCCAGAATAGCGCAGGCCCTCTGGACAACAGATGCTTTCTTTTCAGACGCGATCAGTCTTACTGCGTTCGCCTGAAATGGAACGAGGGTACTAAGCAAGGAACCGGCCTTCTCCAGATGTGTGAAGGAAAGGAGATCCGCTGTTGACTCCTTCAGCGCCTCATCTTCGTTGCCGACTGCCGTCTTTGTCTTCTCCGCGTTTTTCCGCCCGTCTAGAGCTTTGCCGTCTATGTAATGCTGTAGTCTTCTCTTGAGAGCTCTCAATTCCTTATATGCCATTTCATTCAGGCCCAGCGCAATAAGCCGACCGGCAAGTATACATGCTCCTTGTTCGAGTTGGAGGTTTGGACATGCATTGTTCTCACAACCCTGGTCGCTCTTCAGAGTCCTAAGACACGAAAGAGCCAATCTGGCACATTCAGCGACTGCGATCACCCCATCATCCGACCCAGCTATCGTAGGTGACACCGCCTTTGACGATTTCGTCTTTGTGGGTGATGTCAGGATCCGGTTTGGCGAGGTTGGTTGGAGAGGAGTTTTTGACGATGCGCTTCGTTGCAATGTATCTGACAAGGCTTTGGATGCAGCATTGAAGACCTCTGTAGCCAGGACGAGCTTCTCTTGTTGTGATAGATCAGCTGCATCTTGGACTTCAGCGGGGCCCTGAAACACAGCAACTTTTGCTGCGATCTTCGCATTGGCAGACCGGGAAGATTTCGCACGCGTCGCTGTGGTAGAAGACGTTGCAGATTTTGAACTTTTTGTCGTCTTGGTGCTGCTGCGGCCGCTGTCAGAGCTGGATTTCGTGGGACATCGAAGGAGTATCTGAAGCGACGAGACTATGGAGGCCGAACACGTCGATGGGGACCTGACGGCTTGCTTCACGGACTCTGGAAGCGAGTCCGGCATCAATGCTGTTACCGCCATGGCTGTGTAATTTTCATCGAGATATAGAGATTAGAGCATATCGAAAGTCGAACGTTGAAGACAATCGTCATTTCTGGACTCCAACACGGCGAGCCAAGCCTCACCCAAAACGGTGTTGCCGTGACAACGAGACGGAGAGCGCTGGCGTTGGCGGAGATCGGAGCCGGGGGTTCGGAGCCGTCAAGAGCCGCTAAACTATTCTTGGCCCTGAGCGACTGAAACTGCGAACAAACCTCGTGCGAAACCCTCTGGAGTTGCCTTTGGATGGGTACAAGAAGGCAGTCTCACTGGAAACAATGAATCCAGCGACCGTATCGGCCAGGCGCTCTGCTGATCTCCTTTCTCGCACCTCAAAGACTACCAGAAACGCCTGGCGTTCTCACGCTGTTTATACGAGCTGGCAGCAAACCCGCCTCCACTCAACCTCCGATAATCTGCCAAAAATTGCCCAGACGTCTCTATGGACCTCGATCATTCCCAAGTTCATCCGCAACCGTGAGTATCGAGATCCGAACAAGGCGACGACTGCCTCCAAGGAATGGAATCCAGCGAGCTTTTTCATTATCATCTTCACTCTGATCGGCTCCCAAGCGATCCAACTGCTCCTCTTGCGGAAAGACTTTGAGAATTTCAGTCGGAGAGCAGATGCCAAACTTGAGCTTTTGAAAGAGGTCATCCAGAGACTGAAAAACGGGGAGCATGTGGATGTTGAGAAGCTATTGGGGACGGGTGATGAAAGCAAGGAAAGAGAATGGGAAGAAGGTTGAGAAGCCACAGACCCTGAACAAAAATCCCGATTCCTAACGTTCGTTTACTGACGCGATCATGTTGCTTGGCGTTCTAGTTCTTCGCGAGATTGAGGAAGAGGACTCGCTTTGGCGCCAGAAATCCGCGAACAATAATGCCACAGTGACTGATGCCAGTCAATCTCAGCCGACGGCGAGCGAGTCCAAAGACAAACGGACGGAATCTGTTTCAGATAATAATTCGAATGACACTTCTAAGGACCGTGGTGGTAGGATGAGTAGATTTTATTGAGTCGCTCGTTTTCAGCAGAGTTTCAAGGAGTTATATATAGAAAGATACCCGTTTATATCATTGAGCAATCTTTAGATGGTCGGAGTTAGGGCGGCGTGGTGATTTATTTACTGGTTTCTGGCTGTGTGATCAGATCTGAATGCGTGTGATGACAGAGCTGCACGCTGATGTAACTGATATTTTACCCTTCGTCGACAGTTCTAGGAGCATTCCAGGAATTTATGTGGACCTCTCATCTGTAAAAGCTACCTGGGAAGTGGGGAAAGCATTATTTATTGTATGACCGATGCATTTGTATTCGTGAAGCAACAAGTCAGTTCAAGAAATCAGCGTGCTCGCCATGTCTTTTGTGCTGTACAACAGGGACAGTAAAAACAGAGAAAAGCAAAAAGAACAAAACGCAAAGCAAATCTACCAAGTCTAAGACATCTAGTAAGGCGGTTCTAGTGCACAGTCTATGCAACAGAATGAAACCAGATGCCTCCCATAATTGTCACTTGCTCATTAATGCCCCCCAATTAATGAGCAAAACTTCAAAATGTCATCGCAAGCAAAACAACCATTCGTTCCCTCGAAAGAGAGGATGGCTGTCGGGGGTTGGAAAGGGATGAAATGCAAGAAACACAAAAGAAAACAAAACACAGCATGGCTGAACTGTTAACCCTATCCCAGCTTCAAGATTTCCATGAGAGAACCACAAAAGGGGCAAAGAGAGATTGCTTTTTCACAAACACACAAAATGAGAATCGAAGAAGAAACAAAACAGATGCGCCGTTGAGTACGAAACCGAAGAATAGTAATGGAAATGCTAGATCATGGCCAAACAAAAAGAAATCACTGTTTGGACGTTCCGAAGATCTTGGGGAGGGAAGAGCCCTCGGGGATCTTGATGCGGCCGAAGTTCTGATCCAAATCCAGGATCAGCTTGAGGGCGTTTCTTGACCGCAGATAGGGAAGAGGAGCATTGGTGACAGGCACAGCAGAATTGGGATCGGTCATGCTGCCGGCCGGTGCGGTGTCCTCAGACCCAGGCATCGGGAACAGCTTCTGGAGGACTTCGTACGCTGCCAAAGTAAAGCCGAACTGTGGAGAAGAACGAACAATACGGGCTGGGCCACCCTTAAAGAACGCTCTAAAACCTTCTTCCTTCCAGATGGTCTTCGCGCAATGCCGCAGCGATGTGTACTTCGTCTCTCCCTTGCGGGCTTCCACTTGCAGACGGGTCTTGATCACATCACAGGGAGTGGTCAGGTAGGCTGCAGGCATGCCTGCAATGGCACCAGCAGTAAGCAGCTGCACAATGCCAAGCTTCTTCGTCGGCGACTCTCCAAAGAAGTCGGACTTCAAGTGGGAATAGGTAGGGAAGTAAATGGCGGAGAACGGAACTGGGGAGGGCATGTTAGAACTGTATCACCACAAGTTTTAGGTTAACAGGTCTTTGACGTACCATCACGGAGAAGACAGGCACTGGCACCCTTGTACAAGCCAACCAGGCCCAGATTCTTCACAATCCACATTGCCGAGCGACGAGGAGCACCTTCAACGCTCTTGGCAATCTCACCCTGAACCTGGAGACGGATCTTGACAATCTCAAGGGGATTGGTGAAAATCTTGGGAGGAGTTAGTATGCTCCCAAAGGAAAGGGTCGGACTACAACTTACAACTTGGCAAGCTCCTGCCGAACCACCAGCCACGATCTCCCAAGGCACCTTGATGTTCCCTGTCTGTTGGTCGGTGGCCCAACCACGAACAAGATCGTTGACAGTAAGCTTGATGGCTTTCTCTGGGGCCACGCCAATCAGCTGCGGCAAGACACCAGAATACAGACCACGAACACCCTCGTTCCGCAGCACCTTCTTCGCGCAGTCCAGCGAGTTGTTGTACAGTCTTTCGCCTACACGAGTGCTCCGCTGGTTCTGCATCCGAGTCTTGACCAGGTCAATTGGATAGACCATGAATGCGCCGAAAGCTCCAGCAAGACTTCCGAGCGCGAAATGGTGGACAGACTCCAACACGTTGTACAGCACAGATTTCGTCTTGTTCGCCGCCTCGCTAGCAGCCCCTGAAACAGCCGAGACTGCTTGATCAGCTACAGCCGCAGGTGTCTGCCACGATGCATCGATGACCTTTGCGAAATCCTTTCGCGACAGCCGACCACTGGGCGCATCCAATCCCGCGAAGTGGAAGAGAATGTCAGCTTCCATGGGCGTGAAAAGAGAGAATTTGGTGATGCGCGCGGCCTCGTTCAGGAAGTCCGCCCGCGTAATCTTGCCGTCCGGACTCTTTCGCGTCGCCTCCCGGACAATGACATCAATCATGTCCATTTCGCGGATGATGTTCTGGAAAGCGCGAACATTGGCATAGGAGATCTTGCTACCGGTAGAGATGTTGCAAAGGGTAGGAAGATGCTCCAACAAGTAGTCGGACAGCTTGTGCTTCGATGTCTCGAGGATGATGCGCTGGAAATCCTCAGGATCAATGTAGCCATCGCCGTCTTTGTCAAACAGATGAAATGCCTGTCTTATCCGCTCGCCCTGCAGACCCCGGAGCATCTGCGCAAACTGCGGATATGTCATATCATGGCGAGACTTTTTGCGCCCGATATACAGAGAAGCCCATTCGGAATTCCAGTCGAACGGTATGCTGTCTTTGCCCTTGTGGAGGTCGTAAAGCTGTTTGAATGTATCAAACTTGACGAAGCCCGTCCCATCCACATCAAATAGCCGGAATGCGATCTCATACTCAGCATCAGGCTTAGCCAGGAGGTTCTCAAAGGCGGCCCAGTCTGTAAGATTGATCCGTCCAGCCCTCCTCCTGTCTGCAACTCGGAAAAGGATCCCGTACTGGTCTCGTTTGATCTTGTGCTGCGCGTCCAGGAAACCATATGAGTCAGTGCGGGTCTAGCAAGGGGTGAAGGTTATGCGGACTCACGTAGTCTTGGTTCTTTGGCGCAATAGCATCAATGAAATCCTCTTCTGTCATGTACAATTCTCCAGTTTGCTCATCCTTGCGTGCGTGCTGCGTGAAGTGCGCCTTGATCTGCTGCGAGAGCTGGGGCTCCTCCTCAGTAGTTCCCACCAGCGATTCCTTCACGGCCTCCTTGACACTTGCCATGACGATCACAGGAGTCAGGAAACAGGTGGATTAATTACAGTCGTCTCACGCTGTCAAATAGAAACTGCGTTGCTATGGAAAAACAACGCCAGATGTGACAAATCTGGGGCTGAGCCGACGACACAGAAAGGAACTGGAGCGAGAGAATGGAGGCTCAGTGGGCCGTTCTCATGAAGAACACGAAAATGCGGGACAGACAGTAATGAATGCTCGCCTGGAAAAATGCTAACTAGGGAAAGATGGGACCAAAACGAGGGATGGGACTTGGAGATGACTCTAGAAACTTTTTCTCCCAGGGCCAGGGACCGGGGCAATCGGGAAGCTTTGCCGACTAAACAGAGAAGCGTGAAGGCGCCGTGATCGGGCCACGCGAGGCGCCGACGGCATGTCTTCACCGCCCCTGGTTCTTGTGCTCCGTGGGGTCGGCCTGCGCCCGATCGCCGCCCGGTCCGGCTTCACTTGGTGGTCCATTTGGCCAGGCATTCACTCTGTCACCATGCTATTCACGTCCTGGTCCTCGTTGTTATGGTGTGGTACGTGACATTCAAAATTATTTAAAAAATGTCATATCTCTTCTCTTAAAAGTTACAGCTCCTTCCAGTTAATGCAGCCCGATGGTGTACCTCTCTGGCTCCCATGAGGCATTTAATGCATTCAGCTGGCCGTCAGCATGTCCTTTCTGAACGCACCTTTCCGTCACAGCTGACTGGATCATCGGTAAGGGGCAGATGAGAGCGCCTTCGATTACAGATCCGCTGAGCCGTGGCAGTCAGCTGGCAATGAGGGGGGTGATCTATGGCAAGACTTTTGGAGCCGCCAAAAAAAGGGTACCTAGGTAGGCTCAGCGAGTAAAACATATACGATTAAAAAACAGGTTCGAGATTCAGGGATCGCTGAAATTAGGAAGCCAGAGGCCTTCCTCCTAAGCATACATAGTACAGTCTGCGATATTGCTGACAGAACTCTAGACCCAAAACTGGCCACGTGACATCTTGCAATTGCATGGTCAGGTGTTCTATTATTAGATCAGAACGGTATTGCCAGGGATTAGCAGGCAGGGTGCCTAGGGAAGCCAGGGATTCAATGGCCTGCTTAACATCACAGTCGGGCAAGTACGGAACACTTTGGTAAAGATACCTAGATACTCCGTGCCCTGTATAACTACCTCCAGAGCATTAATTAATATTATGTGCAGTACTCCGTACATACATACGGAGTACGGAGTACATGCATTGTCTCCACTGCGGTTAATTTTCGTGAGGGGAAAAGCCACTACGGAGTAAATCTGGACTCCGAAGCGAAGTCTGGAGGCCCTGCGGGTCGAAATTGGAGAATTGCGGGAGTGCACATTCCACGTGAGTTGGAACATGAGAAGAGATATGTCGCTACTTTGAGGATCCGACACAAAGAATGGCCATAAAACATTTCTGGGAGTAAAATACTACTATGTAGCAGTGTTTCTCCAATTTGTAGATGGTACACGAAGAAAAAGCCACCGGGGAACTCCGAGGATTGACCACTGGGCCTTCCAACGGCGGAGCCCGCGGCTCGGTAAAAATCCAGCCCTGCTTACGGAACAATTGTGGACGTTGTGATCTGATTTCTGAAAATCAGAAGAACCAAAATATGTGCCTGGTTCCGTAACTCCGCAAATTACGGTTCACCGATCTCTCTTTTCAGGAAAGCAACCCGTACTCCAAACGGCTCGCCCCATTTCTCCATTTTCTCCGCACGGCTCCAGTGAGGGAGAATTTCTCCAAACACGTCACGTGTCGAGTATTGTGTCGGACTTTGTCCGGAGCCCGGACCAGCCAGCCGACCAATACTGGACTGATAGAATCCCAAGTCATTCTGAACGTCCTCAGTTCAGTTGGAGCATCAATTGACACTCAATGCAGTTTGTACTGTATATAATATTTTGATACAATGTAGTCCGTGTTGTATATCTCAATAAATGTGCGTGCTGCACAAGAACGAGATAGATTTGAGTGGACATTGGGACACACGCAGTAAGTGATACACTTCATAGATTACATATAAAATTGTACCTCCGCACCCCGCAGTATGACGAAGAAATTCAGGGAGCAGCGAGCCAGAGTAATTTCACTGCTTCCGAAATCTCTTCGATCTCCTTCTCGTTACCATCGGGTCTGTCTCCGCAGCCTGGACTACGGTCTCTTCTTTCTTAATAGCCTTCTCCCCAGGGACATCATCATGATCATCCTGGGGCCTCTTGGTGGCTATCGTGGAGGTCACTTGTGTCTGACTTTCGGGATCGTCGTCTTGCTTGATCTCCGCATCTGTTTTGGACGTGAGTCTCTCCGAAAAGGTTCGAAGATCGGCAGTAAACAAAACGCTGTGGGCCCAGCCGGCTTCCTTGCCCCAGAGTTTGCGGAAGTGGTTGCCCACAGCGTCGTACGTAGCTTTTGTCAAGGATTTATTTCCGCCTTTGCCTAACTTATAGTCCCGCTGAGCAATTTGCCAGACTATCGCAGCTTGTCAGCTTATGTGCCCAGGAAGTACATATTGAATACAGAACTGTCATTTGAGAAGGTCTCACCATGCGTGTCAACAGGAACTGCTTCACCCCAGCCCAAACCCATCAAGCAGACACAATCTGCGACTTTTGGCCCAACTCCTTGTAGTTCAAGCAGCTTCTCATGTGCATTGCGATAGCCTTCTCTCCCTTCTGGGCGCATTTCACCCCCGGGTGCGGGCTCCACACCAAAGACAGGAGATTCCGGGTTGCGTAGCGAGTCAAGCCATCCTTTCTCTCGCTGTTTCGCCACAATCACCGCGGTCTGATGGATGTACTTGGCTCGATAGCCGAAGCCTAATCCTCGTAGGCGGGCCTCAACATCTTCACCCGTCAATGCTTCAGGAGATGGGAAGTCGTGATATGCGTGCCCATCTATAGTCCCGACTAGTTCTCCATAATTGGTACATAGTTTCTCAACCATTTGGGAGATCCGTGCAATGTTATTGTTACTGCTGCAGATAAATGATATCAATGCCTCCCATGCATCCTGCCTTAGAATGCGGATCCCTGTAAATTTTGGCGCCTTCTTCTTGAAGTTCGGGTCGGAACTAGACCATTGTGAATACAGCTCAGTCAAGTTTGGGGAGAGGTTGAAATAATGCGTAATGATCGCAAGGGTCTCGTCGGCGGCAGAATCAGACTCCACGTCTGCGCGGGAAGAAGGAGTGGACGCCGGTGGCGTTGGCAGCGCAGGGACAGATGGAGGTCGGGGAGAGTAAGATCTATAGTAAAGATAAGAGAGATCCTGCTTCAATGAAACGATGCGACCCCGGAGAACGCATCTCCACTCGTCCTCCTCCGGCAGTCTGTGCCATCTGCTAACCGTCAGCATTGGACTTGATTGAGTTCGATACGATATAGGCGAAGGAAAAGTGCTCACCGGAACGACTGGCCACAACGAAGGGTGGTGTTTATGCACAGTTCACTCAAACTGATGGGAAGTTTTCGCCATTCCGAAAAGCAGCTTGGAGACATTATTAAAATATAATATGGTAGGGGCGCTCACCCCATTGCGAATGAGCGCTATAAGACGACATGCATGATGTCTCGTCTCAACAGATGCTGGCCGACATTCTAATATTCTGTACCTAGATAATTTGGAAGTTGCGCGGCTCGCCTGTGGTCAGCCGCGCGCTAACCGCTTACGCGCTAGCCGCGGCGGCGGGTCTGCTGCGTCTTTTCGGTTGAGCTTCAATCAGCCTCCGACCTGATCGAACGTCTTCTTGCGTAGCACGAATTCCAGAGGGGCGTCCTTGTTCAGTTGTTCCTGTGATCGAACTCTCGGTCGCGGTATAATCCTTTTAATCATTGTGTCCATCTCGCCCCCTCACTGTCCTGCCTGTGGATTGATCTCGAAGTTGGTCTCCTGAGCTGTTTTGCCATCGCGGACTTGGAGTGAGTTGAGCCAGAATGAACGGCGACACTTACTCTTCCAGAGGTAAGATGAGGCGATCTATAATATCAAGTTGCGAAAATTTTAGCGTGCTAACAAATTACTGCTTGCAGATTCTGGAAGATCAAGGGATTACTACGTGAGTTTTCGCTTTGCCGCCGGTTTCGACGACAGATACTAAACATTTTTGCATCTTGCAGAGGGATGAGCGCAGGGACCGCGGTGACCGTGGAGATCGCGATAGAGGGGAGCGGAGACGGTCGAGGTCTCCTCACCTTAGTTCCAGAAGTTCGCGGCGTGACGAAGCCGACACGTACTCATCCAGCCGTGACTATCGAGCGAGGGAACGTGAAGACCGTTACTCCAGCCGAAGAGACGACCGAGACTGGGACCGTGACCGAGAACGAGACAGAGAACGAGACCGTGACCGTGACCGTGACCGCGACCGCGATCGCGACCGGGATCGCCGGCGTCGGGACTATGACTCTGAACGGTCTCGCCGTGACAGGGACCGTGACAGAGACAGAGATCTTTTCGATGACAGACCTCGGCGCAGGGATCGCGACGGACGGGACCGCCGGAGGAGCATAACGCCTCCATCTCGAAGGAGGGAGCCCACACCTGATTTGACAGATGTCGTTCCCATCCTGGAGAGAAAACGGCGGCTGACCCAGTGGGATATCAAGCCGCCTGGGTACGAAAATGTCACTGCTGAGCAGGCTAAACTTTCTGGCAAGTCTTTGGTCATTCTTAGGGATCTTGTAAACATATTTCTAACGTTTGAGTTGCAGGCATGTTCCCTCTTCCGGGAGCGCCTCGTCAACAGGCAGTGGATCCCAGTCGCCTACAAGCTTTCATGAACCAGCCCGCTGGAACGGCAGACAACTCTGCTCTCAAACCGGCCAACTCCCGCCAGGCCCGGCGGCTGTTCGTGTATAATCTCCCTCCTAATGTCACAGAAGAGAGTCTTGTTTCATTCTTCAATTTACAGCTCAATGGCCTCAATGTCATTAAGGGGGTTGATCCATGCGTATCCGCACAGATGTCCAAGGATCGTTCTTTTGCTATGTTGGAATTCAAGACGCCATCAGATGCGACTGTCGCACTCGCCTTTGACGGAGCCACAATGGAGGAGCATGAGGCGACGGATGGGGCAGCTAATGGCGAACCTAAGGGTCTCGAACTGCGTAGGCCCAAGGACTACATCGTCCCTGCTTCCACCGATCAGGAATATCAAGAAGGCGTCATTCTGAACGAGGTACCTGATTCGCCTAACAAGATATGTGTGACGAACATCCCGCTCTATATCCCGGAAGAGCCTGTTACTATGCTATTGAAGTCTTTCGGAGAGCTCAAGTCATTTGTTCTTGTCAAGGACAGTGGGACAGAGGAGTCGCGAGTAAGTATTTCAAGTCATAATATGCAGTGCGGCCACTAAGGGTGTTATTTAGGGCATTGCATTCTGCGAATATGCCGATCCGTCTGCAACTAGCATTGCCGTGGAAGGTCTGAATGGGATGGAGCTCGGTGACAAGCATTTGAAGGTTACTCGGGCGAGTATCGGTGCCACTCAGGCCGCCGGTCTCGATATGGGAGTCAACGCCATGTCGATGTTTGCCAAGACGACATCTCAAGATCTCGAGACGAGTCGTGTTCTGCAGCTCTTGAACATGGTGACCCCTGAGGAACTTATGAATAACGATGATTACGAAGGTAAGAGGCGGACCCTAGCTGTCGAGGCTGTGTAGATGCTAATATCACGACAGAAATTCGTGAGGATGTGCAGGATGAATGTAACAAGTACGGACAAGTTCTTGAGCTCAAGATCCCGCGCCCGACGGGCGGAAGCAGACAGTCTCCGGGTGTGGGCAAAATCTACGTCAAGTTTGATAGCGTCGAATCTGCGACGAAAGCGTTGAAGGCACTGGCAGGGAGGAAGTTCTCTGATCGGACGGTCGTGACGACATATTTCTCAGAGGTAAGCCTGAAATCAGGTGTCTAGTCCACTCGCATTCTGACAAAATTGCAGGAGAATTTCGAAGTCGAAGCGTGGTGATGTCTGATATGGTTTAATCCTTGGGTTCGGTTATTTCTGCTGTAACCGCGTCCAGCAGGACCTGTCAGTCTGTGTCTGCGATCTTGAGGGATGCAGGTACTTCATATTTCCTGTTTCAAACCCGTTCAGCTCTCTTCTACTACCCACCTGTCCCTTCTCTATGGCGGTATGTTTACTTATATTGCTTCCTGGTCCTTGGTCCTTGGCTTGTGCTTGCATGCGTGTGTGCTTTGTGATGGAAGAAAAAAAGAATTCAAATCAATTTAGTTGACGAGCGATCACAGTGCTGTGCTGTATCATAGTTTGGCAGCGGAGGCAGGCAAGTCGACAACAAAAAAAAAGACTTTACCTGAATGGTCGATTTTTTTTAGTTCCTCTTCTCGTCTTTGTCATTATCTCATGTCTAATAATAAATACGCGACTATCAGGAGTCAAACTATTAATAATTTCTGCCAAGTCAAAACAATCAGTACTCCAGGAGAGAAAGGGCAGTGTATATGGCTGTATGTTCACCCTGCATGGAAAAGAACACTACAGAGAATTGGATGTCATAAATACCTACCTAGCATACATTAAAAAAAATACAGTATACATACAAGGCAAGATATAGGTAAGTAAGCATCACAACCACCTCCGGCTGGTGGCAAGCAAAAGAACTCTGCGGGACTGAATATGCTGAATGGGTATATCAGCTAGTTAATAATTTAGTTAGCTCATGAAGAACATAGAAAGAAATACTGAAAGAATAACTAAATGAATGAGTTTAGTAATTTTTGCTATTTCCAATGGTGCACACACAGGGCAGACTCTTCAGTACAAATGAGTGCTGAGTAATGAGGCAAGGACAGATTTCCCCACAAACTCTCATGAAAAAAAAAAATCTACTAGCAGTGTATGTACGTAATGTATTAGTTTAGTAAGGCTAGATCCATGATCGATCAGATCGTTTCCCAAAACTTCGGATTCTGGAGCAAGGGAGGAGCCTTGACAAGGCTGAAAATTGTGGAGAGAGAGGGAGAATGTGTCTGTGTGAACCGCGGTGATAGATCAATCACATGGGAACCTACCTACCTAGGTTCCTACCCCATGGGGATGGAATAAATGCCATGTGCCGAGGTAGTTAGTTATTAAGTTACCCACCTACCCAACCTACTTAACCTAGGTACTCCATACATACCTACCTACCTAGGTAGAGTTCGTACCTGGTAGCTAATAGTTCGTTATAGTTCGTCGATCATCATCAGTGATCAGCCATGTTCGTGCAAACTCCCGATTGTTGGGACTACGGAGTATGGAGGGTAAAAATATGGGGAAAATATGGGGTAACTACCTGCTAATAGTCGAGTCTGGGAACTTTGAAGAAGATTTGATTTGATTTGATTCGACACCAGTAGTGTCTGCACTATTTACAGAGAATGGGATTGGTTTGTGATAATTAAAGAGTTTAAATAGATAAATCTTCTGGGATGGACGAATTTTGCACTCCGTAGTAGTAGTCCAGTTTTGGTTCTGTTTACAGCTTCGTTATTTGAGTCCTCAACCACCTCCATCATTACTCATTGAACTTCTCATCTTGCGACCATTTCCTTACCATTACTCTGCTTCGAATTAGCAATACTGATTGATCAATATGACTATTGGGCCCATTGCATCTTTTTGATTCTGATTCTAGAGTTATCATTACCGACCAATCTCCTGACAACTATACGAAGAAACACACTGTAATTCCAGTTGTCACACACTCTCTTTAAAATATATTTTCGGACTCGGCAATGGATGCCATGATGAATTGGGAACTGAGATCATTCCTTTTTTTTTCTGGTTGTTACTTTAGCTAGGTCTTCTACACTCCGTACTGTCTAGAACGAGGTAGTTCATTCAACACGGGTATTTCGGCTTGCCACTATCCACCTACCTAGATAGGTAGGTAAAACTATCCTTGCTTGACTTTTACAAGCAACCAGCTAGTTGACTCCGTAATGAAGAAAGAGTTGAAGAAAAAAAAATGGAGAAACTAGCAGGGATTCCCAGTCTTGAATATTGATGCTTGACTTTTGCCAATTTCCAACCCCTGGACCCCTACAGCTACTAGGGGATACCAATATTAATACCTGTCAGCAGCCTGCGAAGTTTGAATCAAGTATATTAATTAATCTTCTCCCAATTGTCAGGTAGGCTAGCACTGTCGGCAATTTGTTCTGTGAAAATACGCAGTACAGAGCAGCGTAGTGACTGACGCTACAGCGATGCTACTATGCTATATTTTGCCTGAACTCGTGTCGCAGAAGTGTTTCAGCTTCTGCACGAGGCAGTTGATATCGTCCCTGGAAGGAATAATAATCCACGACCGTGTGTAGGACGAATTGGGCAATATCGCCGTGAGCTTAACTCTGCTAGCTTAGTCCCAGCCCTGGTATGTGCCTTAGTGCCTAATGTCCCACTCGCAGCACCGTTGAAGAGACTAATGCAGGTTGCGAGGTTTAGCTGACGCTGCCAAACTTTATTTAGTACGATTAAGCGAGACAGCCGTGGAAGATCTAGCGGATGCAGTGCCAGAGTCGGGATCAGAGTGGGCTCCGATAGAGATGGTGTTTTCTTTAAAAAAAATTAAAAATAAATCAAGACGAAGAGCGGTCAGTCTGGCTGAGTGTCGTCTATTATTGTTATTTCTCCTCGAGAACGTCCCGTGACTCGGGGCAAAACAAGCTTTCGGCTTACCCGCCGGCCAGACGATCCACGTGAGAGTCTTAATACGAAGCAATAATATCTTCGACGGCCTTTCCAGAACTTCAGAAGATCATGGCACACAGCACAGACACTAGGGCACTTTAGATACAACCATTATTATCCACCAGTAGCGCCCACGTGTTTCCAACTTTCCATCATCGAAGAATACCTTACCTAGGTTTGACCGTCAGGTATGCACTCCGTCCTTGAAAGTATTGCTTATTACTTTGCCCCCACGGTTAGAGAGACCATGGCTAAATCCAGCGTTTCAGATCGACCAGTCTACCTGCCTACTTCACGTAGGTCCTGCACCACTACCACAAGGAAACAGATGCAGAGCACTACAACCGTGCAGCACTGCAGCTAGAGAGGCGTTCTCCGGTTCATCATCGTGTTTCGTCTTTTACCTACCTAGGTAGGTAATTGACCCTGGATCACGCCTAACAGTGTCGGGAACCCGCAGCCGAAGCCGTGGTCGTGTCCAGCGCCGCCGCCCGGGCCTCTTCATCACGATGAATCTGCCACACCATGAGCAGTTCGGTTAAAGGCGGGTGCCCTACTAGGCCCCCGACAAGAACAGCCTATCTAGGTAGTACTGCTGTCGATCACTACTTCGTAGTTCGTACTTCGAACCACCATGTGGACGGAGTTCATCCTTGTGCGATTGTCCGAAAAAAGTGTCATTTTGATCTAGGTACACGTAGATTACCACCAGGTCAATTAGATATGCCATCGCCACCCCATATACACCTATACCTGTACCTATCTGCCTAACGACCAGACCATGAATAATGCCCATAGAATTTTTTTTTACCAGCCACCCTCCCTCTTTCCCTCCAGCCCGGCCTTGATAAGGTGCACACGAGATGCGAGAATATACAGGGCCAACGCTAAATGAATAAATAGAAATGAAATAAGAAAGAGTAGTGTCTCAGCAACAGCTGTTGTATCGATCAAGAAAAGAAGTACAGAGAAGGAAAACAAATGGAGCCGCATTTGCGGATGTGGGTGTATTCCACAAGAATACAGTATTTGCAGCTGACGCTGTACGTTCAGAGAAAGAAAGGTTTCAGTCCGAAGAAATCATGTCGGCAACACCGCGACGGCGAATGTAGAAAGAGCGTAAAGTTGGAAGAATACAGGATCATCATAAATGTGGCAGAGAACGGTCACATATATCGGGGATTCTGGTGACTGTAGGTGGAATTCGAGCGGGCAAAGCTCGACTGCGGATCCCAGTAGCGGCCGGGGTTTTGCGAACTGGGAGGACGAGGCGAAGAGAAGCTCATGGCGGGACTGGTGTACTTCGCCTCGCGGCCGTAATAGTCGGATCCCTTGCCGTCCGAGTCTCGCAGCGTGGTGGATGTCGACGTGACGACGGGCTCGGGCGTCTTGATGGTCTGCTGGCGCGAGTTCAGCATCTCGTAGGCGCGCGAGTCGGGAAAGCGCGACCGGGCATCCGCCGACACGAACTCGACCTGGTGCACGAACAGGCCCTTGAAGAAGTCAATCCACCCCAGCACCATCGACCACCGCACGACAAAGATGAAGTTCCAGAAGCTGGATATCGACAGCAGCACCAGCACCGCCAGCAGCGTCGCCTCGTTCAGCGCCACCCCCGCAGCCTCCGCTGCGCACTCGCTCGCGTTTCCGCGGCTCAACGCCAGGCACAAGAGCCACTTGGAGGCCCGTTGCAGGTTTTCGGGAGTCTTTTCGAGTGAACTGTTCAGCCGGACGAAGACGACAGCGAAGAAGATCACGTTGGCGATGATGGTGAGCACCAAAGCTATCGATCTCCACTGCAGCTGAAGAACGCGCCGGACTCGCTTGTACGCCTGCCGCGCCGTCACCGTGCGCACACTGCCCGAATACGACGGCAGGCCCGAGTTGGTCGTGCTCGTCGGGTCCGGGTCCGACAGGGACTTGATATAGACATGGATGCAGTACCCCATTGTCACGACCTGCAGGAACAAAGACAGGCCAGCGATGACCATGACAGGAATCCAGTAATCTCCCAGGCTGTTAGGGCTGTTGATGTGGCAGACGTCACCAAATCGATACGAGACGCCGGTGAACACCATCATCAGCGCGAGAATGAGGGCGGGAATGCCCCAGCCGCAGACGAACGCCAGCACCATGAATTTCGGCCCGATGATCACCTCCCAGCAAACCTGGAGATGCAGGGCGATGGTCCGGATGAGACTCCATGTGACGACCGCAATGCCTCCGAAAAGGAGAAAGGCTCCCGTGAAGGCGCACGAGAGACTGCTCCTCATGTCATTGGGGGTGATCTCATTGTAGCATCGCTGAGGCTTGGTGCCCAAGGGGATGATGAACGCGATCTGCCGCCAGGTCAGCACACGCAACATCCATCTCCCCACGGAGACGGTGGTCAAGAGTCCTCACCTGCATACAGCAAAGAGCCAAGGTGAAGCAGATCGTGATGTAATGGCGGTTCGTCCACTTGACCGGAAGGACGGCATATGTGATGAGCAGAAAGACGCTCAAGGGTAATATCGCGACGGCAAGCCAGCTTGCTGCCACCGTTTTCGAATGCACATCTATAACATTCTCGTCAGCAAGACGTCTGGCAGGACTGTTCCAGGGTGACCGTACTATCGGGGTATCTCCAATCTTCCAAGGGACATGGTAAACAACACGACACGTTCCCAGCCGGCGTACTGATGCTCTCACAAAGCCGTCCGTCGATGTCTACCACAAACCAAGCATCAGTACCAAATTCTGCGAACTGCTATCGAGAGTGCAATCCTACATCCACCAGAACTCGGGAAAAGACTCTCTTGCAAGAACGGGGGCGGGCAGAGCCCGTTCTTCGACGTCGTTGCCATCCTTATAAATCTTGCACAATGCGCCCATCCAACTGCACGTCGTCGTCGTTGCCGTCGTCGCTGCTGCGGGTATGGTCACTGGATGCTGTTGAAACGAAAGACTGTCCTCATATTCGGGGTCAGGGCATGCAGCGTTTCTCCGAGTCGGTTTGTCTGCGCGCGGTGACTGCGCGCAGCACACGCAGCCTTACAACACCACGATCACCAAGCAGTATTGCCTCCCTATGCGGGGGAACCAGATACAACAGGGGCAGCCGACGACTGATATAATTTAGGTGCATCTGTCCGCCCGGCCAGCCCTCCTTGAAGGACGGCTCCACACGCGGCTATCCATAGGATCCTGTAGGAGGATTGCGTACGGAGCAGGTAACGAATGACACTACTAGGTGCTTGGGACTAGTAATAGTCTACTCTTCCTTCCTTCCCTTTTCATCTACTGGGCTGGATCTATGCCGGGGTGGCGACCAGGGCCCCTGGGCGTCAAGAGCGCCGGCGGGGACATCGAGGCGAACAGGCCCGACAGCAGGTGATTGGCGATCTTGGAAAGGACCAGATATCCAATGATCGATCCTTCGCTGCACTGCCAAGGGGCAAGTCAAAAACAATCGCCAAACCGTGGCTAAGCTGGGGGACTACGGAACTCGGAGCTATAGAGCCAGAGACAAGGCGTATTGTTCCACTGTGGATGCCTGATGCCCTATCACCGCCAGGCACCGTTGGCTTTTGAGTTTTCGGTTGGAAGCGTAGTCTAAGCCTCCCAGAAGCATAGGACAGTCGCAAGAGGTCCAGTCTTCCTGTTAACGAGATCCATGGAGATCCTCGGCACTTACAAAATACACTCAACGAGCCCATAGCACTGTGTGCGCCTGTGGTGCTGAAGCGTGGGGTTCACGGCGAATAAGCATCGTGCTGCTGCCCGTGCCTGGCTGACTCCGACGCCACAGCCAGCCATCCTGCAAGCCTAGACGATGCAGAATTTGGGACGGTTATCAATCGTCCCGCCGCCTCGCTAGGAGTCAGACGAGGACCAGGCCCACCGCGAGGCGTGGGAGAAACTTTGGACTGACAGGGCCGTGACACGGCCAGTCTCGTGCCTGGCTCGACTGTTGGACAGTGCCGATGTGCCCTGTGCGCCGCAGGATTTCGCCTCGGAATGATCGCATCCAAGGCGATGGACCGTGTTCTTTTCTTGCAATCGGCCCATCGCACGGGCAGACCCGCCTTGCGATCGAATATCCCTCACGCCGTCTGTGCTGATGCTCTTGCTGCTGCTGGGAATCGCCCTTGGTGGGGCTCGGGCCAGCATCACGTCGGCGACCTTCGAGGCACTTTGTTGACCCCTGACCCCGGCCTGACGAGCGGCCGCGGAATAAGCCGCGCACACGCGCCATGCCACTGTCACCTTCTCCTGTCAGCTGGTGGAGCGTTGTGACGCTAGCTGGCTACGATGATTGACCGTTTGCCCGGGAAGAGCTTATCCGGAGGAAATTATCTGCCAGGCACGCCAGCGGCTGCATATCCAGGGTGTACAGTACGGAGTTCAAAAATGAATCTCATGCAGCTCAGCTCAGGTACATACAATCCATTCAAGGTGAGTGGTTGTCAGGTACGGAACAGTTGGCGGGTTGATGGAGCAGCGACACGGACTGATTGCCTAACTAGTGACTCGGTACCAACAAACAGACTTTAATGATCCTCCTCGTACTCCAGCAACCAAAACGCTCTCCTCACGACCACTAGCGACCATGAGTCAGCGACTCAACGCGCGCAAAAACACATATCCAGCAGGCCGGGAAAATTGACTTGACAACCGAGCCATTGAACTTAAAACTAGTACTGAACTTTCTTGCCAGTCCGGCCCACGCAGCTCCATGGATTCGCTATCCTGGGACTCGCGTCACCGGTGCTGGGATACACGATAGGATATTATCCAGGGCTCCCGCCTTCTAGGCCCTTGGATCGCATAAATTACCCGGTTATGCACTCAGCAGAAACAAAAAAGAGAGATGCCCTTGGTGATATCTCTGCATCTCAAGATGCCAATAATTAATTGATGAGCAGTAGATTATTGCTTGCTTTAATTTAAACATCACGATTCCGTCTGCGTGGTCGAAAAATCGACGTAACTAGATGACGCTGCCCTGCGACAGTTACGTAAGTCGCTGGGTCTCTTTCCTTTTTGGCAGGTAATATACAGCATCTGTGCCAGATCCAGGAACATATAGCATCCATCAACTTGAACAGGCTGTTCTCAAGTTTCTAAATCGCCAAAATTACTGACGTGAGATTTATAACCCCTATTATGGTCGTCGTCTTGCAGGACGCCGGCTAAGGCTCTGTGCCGCATTGCGGAGGCATTTAATATTGCAGGGCCGAGCCTGCATAATGCATTGGCAAGAACAATCAACAATGCTGGTCGCCAACAGAAAATAACAAATTCAAACCGTTATTGCTATTGGCTCCTCCGTGTCATACCTGCTGGGCGGTCTCCTGATACTAACTGCATCGGTCGAGAGAACAACCGGGACATGCGGCGTAGAGAGGTAGGCCGTCGAGAGCCAGTCGATGACGGTGATAATATACTCAGAAATCAACAGGAATTTCCTATTTGGGGGATAAATGCCTGGTAGCTGAAAGAATCTAACCATCGATGGCTTGACTAGCGACTGGTGCGTATTTTCTCCTCTGCCGTCAATTGATAGAATGCGTCGGACACATGACTCAGCATCTCGCTCCTTTCAGGATGACTGGTCTATAAACCAGGAGCAATACATGCTATTCATACTGACGATTTGTCTCTGAATTGATAGTCAATCTCCGAATATGACGAATCAGGCTGTCGACTGTACACAGACCCTGAAGCCATCCGATTCACGAACAGAGATTATCATTGCTGCTTGTGATCAGCCACCAGGGCAGCCGCGGAGATCGCCCACCCCAATCGCCGCCCGCGCTTCGCTACTGCCGTTGATCGCCACCCGCATTGGCTCTGCCGCAAGCGCTCGTTAAAAACGCCCTCCTGTCTAGATCTCCAATCGCCTCTGAACGCTGGCAGATCGCGTATCTATTTCGCAGATCATCCTCGTTGGTTAGAATGTCAAGTGCGACTCGCATGGCTCTCACACAGGTCAGCTGAGGTGGTGCAACTGTGGATAGAACAAGACGGCAGGCGTCGTTAGAACACCGCCAGTTGGTTCCCCACAGATGCATCTTGGGGCCAATCTACACTGGTGGCATGTCGAGAGTACTCCGTAAACACGCAGGTCCGTGACTCCATACTCCGCACTCCGACTCCGTACAGATTCAACACGAAAGCTGGTGCTGCCTGTGCTCTCGGACACTCCGTTCGCAGTGCAACCTGCAAGCTGTGCTGTCCGGAAGATATTCAAGTCCGAAGCTCGATCCAGAATGCCCATTGGCTGTTGGGCCATTTGCCACAGAATCCTTCCAGCTGACTGGTCGCGTGCCAGAGCGACGATAATCGGAGCAATTGCATGTGGGACCTCTTATCACGCCATAGACAGCAATTATCGATAATGGACTCTGCAAGTTTCAGCTGGGGGCGATATTAGCAGCAGCAGAGTTGTCTAAAAACTCAGAGGATTCTAGAGAGTAGAGTGGTCTGAACCACCTGCACATGACCTCTTCGATCCCGACGATCTGCTTCGACTAAACTAGCTAAACGGATTGCCACGTTGCGTGATACAACAACCATCAGGGACAGTCCCCGGATTAGCAATTCAGCTTCTATTCGCGTCGGGAGATCTGTTCAAACGGTGGACGTGTACGAGTAGGTACCGTACTCATATCGTACTCATTCAATGATGGACAATGCACTTCGATCTACAAAGCAACCCTGCTCGTACAGACTGCAGTCACGCACAGACCATGACTGCCTGAAATTCCAGTAAATTGAACAACAACAATATCCGCAACAAAACGAAAGACAGAGGCCCCGAGTCTCCGTGTCGAACAGTTCCTGACGCTTTGCGTTCACACCGTCAGGCCCGGTAACAGCGAGTATTGAGTCGGGTTGGCATCCTTCACTTTGCCATAGGCGTCTCGCACTGTGAGCACTCGGGGTGGGCCCTCGTCTCCGAAGAGCGGCGTGATCTTTCCAGATTCCAGCTCCTTCTTGACCTTTGCACTCAATTCGTTCCACCGCGCTCTGGTGTCTTCCTCAGCGTCGTAAGGATACAGCCATCGGTTCTACAATTTGACTCATCAGCTAAAGCAAATAACACTCTATTCTGGATTGAGCGTTACCTTGATTTTGATATCATCTGGATCGAGTTCTTCTCCGGAGTCCAGGTGTTTGAGTGCATTATGCCACCGGTTTCGCAGGTCTTCTCCAGACAGCTGGGATTGCCGTACACGGTCAAAACGAAGCTTCTCGTAGACTCTCGTCTTGAAGTCAGAATAAGTCATTTGCTCCAGTCTCGAGCTTCCAAAGAGACAAAATGGTGGTGATGGGGTCACATACTGCTAATGGCACATTCTCCCTTCCTGCCAACTTCAAGCATAGTGCTAGCACTGCTGCACTCTCTGTGGCTTGAGAAGCTCCCTGCGCGCTGGTCGGAAGATGTGGATGGCAGCTGTCCCCCAGGAGGGCGATTTTCCCACTTTTACTGACCCACGTAGGCAACGGCGCGCGATAACAGATCTTCCAGTCGAGGCAGCTGGGTGTCACCCTGATAGCGGATGTGATCGTCTCATCCCATCCTTCCACCAGTTTCCTGACATCATCCATATTTCCAGGCTGAAACCAACTCTCCTTGATGTCTTCTGTATCTTTGTGGGTGATGATCCAGTTAAACTCCTCGCCATCTCTCAGGGTATTCTGAACGAGGTGCATATCTTCGCCGATCCAGATATTGACGCAGTCCTGCTTCAGGAGTGGCTGACACTGAGGGATGTCTTTGAGAATATCACCCTTGAAGAAGGCGCGGTAGCACGCATAGCCGGAGCTCTTGGGAGCGTCGCTGAAGCCGAGGACGAGCTCTCGGGCTCGCGATTTGATGCCGTCGGCTCCGACGATCAGGTCCGCGTAGAAGGTCCGACCATCCTTCAGCGTGACGCTGGGGGCGTCTTCGTCGAAGGAGACGACTTCATGACCCATGTTGATGGTCATGCCCAATTCCTCGACGCGTTGGATGAAGCAACGGTGATAGTCGCCTCGATGGCCGATATATCCGGCCATATCCTGCGCGCATACGATAAGTATGTACTTTGATAGAAATACGGTACCGAATCACTCACCATCAACGGCTGGGTAGCCAATATCTTGCCGTCGTTCCACCGACGGATATGCATATCGGGGCTCTTGTTCCCGATGGCGATGAGCTGTTCGTACAGACCCCATCGCTTCAGCAGCTTGAGGGCGTTCTCGCCCAGACCGAGACTATCGCCGAGGCGCATGAACTCACGCACCTTTTCGAAGATCACGACCTCGAATCCCTGGTAGTGCATTGCCATGGCGCATGCGAGGCCGCCCAATCCGGCGCCGACGATGATGACCCGTGGACGGTCCCCTGACGGTCTTTCCTCAATCGCCATGTTTATCCAGAAACGAGACTCGGCGCAGACAGTCGCACAGGTAAGCAAGACACTATATCCAGTGTAAACTTTCAGCAACTCGATCAACAAGCACAACACGAAAATTGGGCCCCTCAATCAGACAGGAAATGAAAGAAGGAAAAAGAACTATTTGCCGCAGAACGGAGAGTAAGAGTAAGAACGAGCAGTCTCTGTGATTGATCGATCAATCGATTGATTGATTGATTAATCAACCAACCTACCTACCTATCTATCTATTAATTAACTAACACAACCAACACCATCGGCATTCGTCGTAATTATTTATCACCGTTTCTCATCATGTGGGGGTGGTGCACTACGGAAAAGGGAAAATATTCGGCGAGTACTCCGTACGCCGAGTCGGATCCTACGTACGGAGTAAGTATTAGTTCCTTGTAGGTAGGTAGGTAGGCTGTCTGATAGATTGTATGTAGGTGTGTATGTGTGTATTTATGGCGCCGCTGCGAAACTATTTCTCCGCGATGGTATCTATTAGGCTAGGAGGTATACTTGCCTAGGTGGGTAAGTACATACCTAGGTAAGTAGGTGCTTGTCTAGAGTAAGTAAGTAAGCTGCTTTAATTAACTAGGGATATTATTGTTTTTTGCTCTTTTTCTTTTTCTTCGTCATCTTTGTCTTTGTGTGTCTCTGGTCTTCTTTTTTATATTTGTTGAAGTCTGTTTGTTTTCTGACCCCATTCTCTTCTCACTTCCTCCCTAATCTCCTCTCTCTAATCTCCAATTGACATTAATTGAACGGAATAATTGTGTATGTATATAAAAGTTTTGATTGAAATAAACATGGTTGCGTAATATTTATGGACATACTGCGCCTCAATAATGATATTGGCTGCACGAGTTAGACTGTATGTACAGTACAGTAAAGTACAGTATGTACTTCCATCTGCCATACAATACTTTTTTCTAGGTAGATAGGTATGTGTGTAACAGGATCGATCGATGAAGTTGAATACTGCTTTCCTGCTTGATTGATTGCTTGCTTGCTACAATGAATCATACTAATGTGAGAGACTTCAGAGAGAGAGAGAGAGAGAGAATCATCAAGTCAGTCCACTTCAATGAAAATACCCCGTCGTAGAAGAAGCCATGATATCCTCTGACCCGTCCGCCCGCCACGTCTCCAGCGACAGCCAGTCCGGATCGACGATCGGAGATGGCCACGAGGTGAGGCAGTACGACGCCGGATCGTCGCTGTCGCCGTGGTCTCGCTGCGCTAGCGCTGTCAATGATGAGGTTGACGATGCTCCTGCTGCGCCAGAAGGAGCAGTGGTTAAGTTCGACGACGACGCTGCAGCGGCTGTCGCAGGCATAGGATTCTCGATCTCGTGGTCCACACCCTCGATGATGTGCAGCGTCCGCGCCGCGCTCGACCAGATGCTGCTCATCTTGCGGCAGCACTCGACGCAGTGGTTCAGCGCCGACGGCGAGAACAGCAGCGGGTACATGGACCGGTTGAACAGGTGCATGATCGCGGCCGTGAAGGCGAAGTAGTTGAAGAACGGCGGCGCGAAGCTCAGGCTGTACGACGATGTGAAGTGCTCGAGAAGGTTGGAGATGGCCACCGCGGCGGACGTCGCTGCTAGCAGGGAGGAGTTGTTGCGGCGCGTCTCGTTGAGGTTGGGCGTGATGCTGTACACACGGTTAGTTTAACAGGACGCGCAAGACTACGCGGCAACGTACAACGGCCGATGTAGCAGAATCTTGCAGTTCCAGAACAGCGCATGCATCATGATTACCACCACGGGAAGTCGGCTCCCCTGTCGAACGGCGAGGAAATCCGGTACCTGCGCTTCCCACTCGTCCAGGTGGCGTTCGTACTCGTGCAGATCCTCCCAGTCTGGCTCCTTGGATCCGACGGAGTAGAAGGTGCGGTGGATTCGGCCTTGTATTTGAGCTGAGAATTGTCAGCAAAAAATACAGAGACAGAGAGAATTCAGACTGCTAGACATACACAGCCGAATAACCTGCACAAAACACGACAGGGAAAGGTCCCGCGACCCCTGGGGACTGTCGTCGGGGAACTTGGTGTCAAAGTCCTCCTCGTGGATGCCGCACGGCCGGCCCTGCCACGCGGAGATGTATCGGTCTAGGACAAAGATCCCCCACCAGATGAGCCGCCGGATCTGGATTTCAACGGACGACATGTTCCGGAAGCAGCTTGTGTTCTTCCACACGGATGGGTCGCGGTGGAAGCCTAGGTCTTGGGCCTGGATTGGCAGTCAGTTAGTCGCGACATCACTGTTTTATATGCAGGTATATATATTACTTGCCATTCTGATTGCATTTCCTACGTACATCCAACTGATTGATCCGCCGGTGCCAATCTCTCGATACGCCATCATGAGCAGGGCCAGACAGCAGTTGATGCTGCTTTGCTCTGGACATTACAAGAGAATTAGAAGGACAACTCCGGAAGTGGGCCTTTGTGGACGAACTTACTGTGCTGTGCAAGAAGAGCCTCCGCCCGCGTGGCATAGGTATCGCCAGGGTCACTGTCCTCCTGCTGGTCGTGGTGCTCGACGAACCGGGCAGAGAGTGCGAACATCGACAGCAGGAGGACTTGCGGAATGCGCCGCTCCAGCTGATCGAGCGCAGATCTCCCTGCACGGGGGATCCTTCGTCGGTCCTTGCTGAGCTGGAACAGGAACGTTTCCTTGTGAATAACCGGGAAGTACGGATGGATATAGGCCCAGTAGGCGCTGTTCAAGATTAGTAATTTCGTGTCATGTAAGCTTCATATGTCGAGTAAGGATATGAGAAGAGTAGACGCACTCTAGCAGCTTGTTCTGCACTGCAAGACTGGGAAGAATACCGCCAACTACCGCGTCCGCAGCCGATACAATCTCGTCTTCAGTCCGGAAGGTCGTCCGCTTGCTGCGAGGCCAGAACCCCGGGTTCGAGAACTGCCAGAATGGGGACGCGAACACTCGAGATGCGGTGATCAGGTAGAGACCTGAGGTTGGTCCGTGATACCTCATCGTCATGTTCTCGTCTATCGACAGGTAGCCCAGCACCGTCGATCTCTCCGTCGTGCCATCCTGGGGACGGGGCGGTCGCGAGAGAAATTTCTGATGAACTTTTGCTGCGTCGACATCTTCTTCCCTCGCCTGACGTTTGTTGCTGTGACTGCTGCTGGAGGGCTCTTCTGGAGGCTCAATGTTGCTGCTGCTGCTGCACGGCGCACCTGCTCGAAGCTCGCTGACGATGCTCTCCAGCGACGCGAGCCTCTGCTCCAGCGTGTTGACATATCCCTTGGGCGGGCCTCTCTTCTTGACGGTCCGGAGGAACGTGCAGGCCACGTCCAGGAACCGGCAGTTCTCACACACCCGCGAGCCTGGCCTCAGCAGGCATTTCGACTTCGACTTTGAGCCTGTCCATCTTGTTTTTTAGCAATCATGCGATTGCCAGTGGAGCTCGGCAGGGGTTCGGTTTCTCCGCGGTAACATACAGTTATCGCAAGCCCTAGAAACCTTTTCCGCACTCTGGGATTCGCGTCGAGCTGGTACGGTTGAGGTTGCGGTCTTGTCCGTCCCAACTTCACGGTCTTCTGCCATTGACCTAATCTATCTACAATTGATCTTGCTAGTCAGAGAAACGATGTAATGTATGTGTTGGATGTGGTGACAGAGGTATGTACCTGCCAGGTGGAGCTTTGCTCCGCGTCGATTGATAACGGCGTTGGGATTCTTCAGACTCATCGCTAGTTTTGCGGGGGATTGCCGACAGTCTGGGGAAAGCTCTCTGCCCATGCGGGGATTCAACGGTTTCAGCGCGGCCATACTAGTATTGCCGGAGCGCAGGCAGTGCTGGCCCGGGGTTATTCCGTGTCTGCATGGCACAAGCACCTTGGACGGAGTATCGGATTATTAAACCTACGAGACTTGCGACAGCATGAGGAACCTGGGATAGAGCTGACTCTTTTCTTCATTGTTCTCGTGATCGCCATGGCCAAAGAGAGTAGTTCGACAGCGGGGACAGTCCCGCCCGTCCCCATCTTATCAGATTCCCATCATTCGGGCATCAGCAAACGCCTGGCAGAGGCAGCAAATGCGGCCAAGGCGAGAGTCTACGCCAACAAAACCGTATCGGGGGTGACACCGCGTAAGGGCGAGCTGCCTGTCCTGCCACCGGGAATCCAGCGCCAGACATTCAACACCGCCATTGAAGAGCTGAAGCGCACGCTGGGCTCAGAGCATGTCGTTATAAACGACAAGCCTCTAGATGATGGGTGGTATCTGGAACATCCGTAAGAGGATATCGAGCTTCTCCCATACTTGACGTGGTATACACAATTTCGCGTACTCACCGTTTGCTTGCATAGAAACACTCACGACGCTTTCCACCTCCTTGACCCCAATGAAACCGTCTCCTCAGCCGTGGCATATCCCGGCTCGACGGAAGAGGTCTCTGCCGTGGTGAAATGGGCCAACAAATACGAGATCCCTCTCTGGCCCATCTCCATGGGTCGGAATCTGGGCTACGGCGGAGCTGCACCTCGAGTGAGAGGAAGCGTCGTCGTCGACCTTGGGAAGCGCATGAACAGGGTCTTGAACATTGACCCGGAGCAGTGCTCCTGTCTCGTCGAACCGGGTGTGTCGTACTACAAACTCTATGAAGAAGTCCAGAAGACGGGCTATCCGCTCTGGATCGATCCGCCAGATTTGGGCGGTGGTTCGGTCCTCGGAAATGCTGTGGACCGGGGGGTGGGATATACTCCGATGGGCGATCGTGCGTTGTTTCTGGGGAATTGATTGATTTGATCAACTGCTAACATTTTCGCCAGATTTCGCAAATCATTGCGGGTTCGAAGTATGAAGACACCCAGTCCCCTTGTTGCCTGGTCCATCTTGCGATATTGACAAGCGGACAGGTCGTTCTACCCACCGGCGATGTTATCCGGACAGGCATGGGAGCCTTACCCGGCCCTGGTGGTGAAGACAATCCGACATGGCAGTCATTCCAATACGGCTACGGTCCCTATGTCGATGGCATCTTCACGCAGTCCAATTTCGGCATTGTTACCAAGATGGGGCTATGGCTGATGCCCGCGACGGAGCATTTGACCTTCATGGTGACGTTCCCGAATGACGACGATTTTGAAGACATCATCGATGTCATCAGACTGCTGATGGTCAGGAGGATCTTGGGAAACGTTCCACAGCTGCGACATGTGATTCAGGAACTGGCTGTCACGGGGAAGAATAGAGAAGAGTTCTACCGGGGTGAAGGGCAGATTCCTAGGGAAGTCATCCGCCAACATGCGTCGAAGATGCCTTGTGGTGATTGCTCGTGGATATTTTATGGTAGAATGCCGATCTCTCTCTTTCTCCTTTCTTTTTCTTACTTCTTAGGAAATCTTGCTGATCAGCTGGAGCAGGTACCGTTTACGGGTCTCAGAAGCAGATCCAGGACACCCTCGCGGTCGTCAAACGAGAGTTCAGCAGAATTCATGGAGCGCGGTTTATCTTCCCTGACGATGTCCCGCCGGACCATTACCTCCACTCACGAGTACGAGTGTGCTCAGGCGTCCCAGAAATCCGCGAGCTGGAGTGGTTGAACTGGAAGAAGAACGGAGCCCACCTGTTCTTCTCACCGATCTGCCCGACCAAGCGACAGGATGCCCGGAAGATCATCGACATTGCAGCCCGTATCCACAAAGAATATGAATTCGATCTCTTCCCGACGTTCTGCATTGCCACGCGTGAGATGCACCTGATTGTGAACATTGTCTACGACCGAGCAAACCAAGACGAGAAGCGCAGAGCGGTCGCCGCGATCCGGAAGATGATCGACGAATGCGCTGAGGCCGGATATGGCGAGTATCGGACACATATCTTGCTAGCGGACCAGGTGGCGCACACCTATTCGTGGAACAACCAGGCGTTATTGCGCTTCCATGAGACTCTAAAGGACAGCCTTGATCCCAAGGGCATTCTTGCTCCTGGACGGAACGGCATCTGGCCGAAGAAGTATCGAGGCCAGGGTTGGGAATTGTTGGGGGAAGGCAGGAGTACTTCGACAAGACCAAGTCACGGCTCTAGGCGTAGCAGAAAACAGCTTGTCCACTCTGTAAAGTTCACCAAAAAGAATAGTAATTGTGATGGATACTCTTGAAGTACAGTGCATATAAAACAAGGAGTCAAGCTTTGCACTTTACGCCTGTAGCGACAGGGACTAAAAACTTCCTTTCGCACTCGAAAGTAAAGGACATAAAATGTCATTTTTCAAGTCATATTACCGATCAGACGTCCATATCTAAGCATACTACACCAGAGAAAGTACATCTGAAAATGGTAGATCCGGTGAGATATATAAAATTGTAACCTAACCCTAGGCTAACGTTATACAGTACTTTCATCGCATGCAGCAAAATGTCCAGCAGGTTAGGTCCAAATCATCACATCTGAACTCGCCAAATCGCATACATCTCTGCTACTAGCATAGAATCGAACCCAATGCTCTGACGTCTTGTTAGCAGAGTCCATAAAAGCAGAATTTGTGACAACAGCGACAGCTGAATGAGAAGATCAGAAGTCCCTTACGTTCATTGAGGCAACACCACATAGGTGTGCCCCTGACACAAGAGGTACCAGAAATATTTTTTGTGGTTGTGTATCATCATGGCATCCAAAGGCAGTAAAAGCGACCAGGAGAAGTAGCACTAACCTTTTCTTAAGATCGCTGGGAGCGACACAGTTGTCTCATTAGTACAGTAAACTGAGGCTTCTTATTCAATGGTTAATCAACAAGTTTCTGCGAGCCATGAAAAACTCGTTTCGCACCATTTTCTTACGAAAGAAAGTGTTGGTGATGGAGTCCGAGCGGAAGAAATAATCGTCGGAGCCGGGAAAAATTTAAGCGAGCAGACAGCCGGTCACCTGACCCACACACTCCACACCCGCACAAGGGCTTTTGGCTTTTGATTCTCAACGCTCCTCCCTCACCTCGCCAGAGAAGAGATCTTGCAACAGTCGACAAGTCGTCAACCCCGCACGACAAACAATCCAAGATGGGTCGCCTTCACAGCAAGGGCAAGGGTATCTCTTCCTCCGCCATCCCCTACTCGCGCACCCCTCCGGCCTGGCTCAAGACCACCCCGGAGCAGGTCGTCGACCAGATCTGCAAGCTGGCCAGGAAGGGTGCTACTCCCTCTCAGATCGGTGTCATCTTGAGGGACAGCCACGGAATCGCCCAGGTCAAGGTCGTCACTGGTATGCATTCACCCTGATTGATTGAACTTTGGGAGTTGTTTGGCTGGTGCTAACCATCCTGCGATACGTAGGTAACAAGATTCTGCGTATCCTGAAGTCCAACGGTACGAAGCGAGCCTCAATTCCGATCGCTGTAGCAGGATGAAGAGATGGAGCGAAAGCGAGGATTGGATGGGATGTTCGCTCGCCGCTAATCGCGAGTGGTCTCTGTTTCCTCTCCTCTCTGCCGCTTCAACTCGAAATCCTAAATTGAGTGTGCAAAATCGCCTGCACATCTCAATCATATGCCTCTGCTTGGCTAGATGTAGGCTGACAGAGTGATCTTGTAAATCAACAGGCCTCGCTCCCGAGATTCCCGAGGACCTTTACTTCCTGATCAAGAAGGTGAGCAGACTTCAATTATTCACGTTTGTCAAAAATAAGGTGGTCTTTTGGCTAATCTCGCACCAGGCTGTTGCCGTCCGCAAGCACCTTGAGCGCCACCGCAAGGACAAGGACAGCAAGTTCCGCCTCATTTTGATCGAGTCCCGTATCCACCGTCTGTCCCGCTACTACAAGACCGTCGGTGTCCTGCCTCCCACCTGGCGGTACGAGAGCGCTACTGCCAGCACTCTGGTCGCATAAACGTGCTACTTTCTGTTTGCCGTGTTTGGTGGTTGCGACGGGGAAAAAAGGTGTTAGGCATTTTTTTGTTCTGGAATTGGACATTCCAGATATCGTGGAGGAGTTATGACGAGCCCACTGGCCATCTCTTGCGATGACTATTAATGGCAGGATGATTCGACCGATCGTGTCGGTCGCGGTGGTCTCGAAAGGAGCTTCCTTGCTTCTAACGAAGTTCACGACTCTCTGTCTACCCTAGCTTTTTTCTTCCGGACAAGAATACCAAAAAATAAAATAGATGATGAATATATTACCTTATCAAGGCGTTACTACTGTATCAAGATCAATTTTCTATCCTACTTAGCCATTGCTGTTTTCCTACCGAGTATTTCTATTCGTAATTCCTTAGTATTATTAAGTCTTAAGTAGCATCATCATCATCAACAACATATCTTCAAAATCTATAACTATACATATCTGACTTCTCGCGCCACCGCATTGCAGAGTTCAACCCTGATGCCCGCCCCCATCAGGACGTGAATCCACAACCGCTGCGTATCGCTCAAGCGGTCATTCTCCGATTTCACCTCGGCGAACATGACCTCCTTCTTCTCGGGACTCCAGAGGAAGAGATCCGGGATGCCGCCGCCGCCTCGCTGCTGGTACTCCTGCGCCAGGACCTTGCAGACCGTCGCCAGCGCTTCGCCGGGAAAACACCGCACGATCTCGACCAGGTCGTCGAGTTCGAACGTCCAGTCGACGCCCACGATGCAGGTCTGCTTCGCTGATTCCCGCGCGTGCACGTCGCGGATGATCTGTTCCGCTTCGCCGTTGGCGAGCTGCACAAGTCTGTGGTTGATCTCTGATGCTCGGCAGGGGTAGAATGCGTCTGTGTGCAGGTCCAGAGGACAGGTCTGGAAGGGGGTCTGGAAGACGTTCGGGACGTAGGTGAAGAGGATGTCGTAGAAAAGATATCCGAACTGGCATTTTCCCCCGCAGGATTGATAGTCAGCATTTCCTGTTTCTCTCTCTCTCTCTTTTTCAAATCTTGAACGAGTAAATCTTTATGCATAGAGGAACTTGGCTTACCAATGTTCGTACAATCCCACCTTCTGAATGATAGCCCTTCCAGCCATTGTCTCTGTACCAGTTCAGGCACATGTTCTCTACCCTGCATTCCCCTCCGCCCCCTCTCTCATCTACCCAAGCTGTTGGCCGGCCTCTTTTCGTCGGTGTGTCGCCATTCGTCTTGGATGTACTCCGTGTGGGAGAATCTTCCCTCTTCTCTATACGGATACCCTCCACAACCCGTTCCAAAGGCTTCGCCAGCATGACGTGTCCGAAGTCGTGCTGCTCTCTTTTTACGACTTTCAGCGTTCTCTCCAGCTTCATTATCCGCTTCTGCAGGTCGTAGTGATAGATGATGTGGCAGTCTGGGTCTTGAAGCCCCCGCTCGCAGGTTTCGAGGGCAATCCGCTTCCAGTGTTTTTTCTGAGTGTCCTCACTGCGCCCCTCAAAGGGCGTCAGCGCCCACATGTAATGTTCCTCAAGAAGCGCCTTCCTCTGGTACCACGCACCCCGCCACGCGGGATGAGATAGCCGCTGGTCGAGCAATTCTGTCAAGAGCTCATGCTCCCTCTTGTGCTCCTTAAACCTCCCAAGAGCATGCAGACCCTTGTGGATGATCCGAGTGTACACCCAAGCCGGGGAGAAGCGGCGCAGATAGGCCCCTTCGCCGCTTGTATATATCGTATCTTCCTTGCGCTGCTCCTGCTCAAGCAGCGTCTTCCAACGTGGGTAGACTTTCTCGCTGAGATCTTTGATCACCTGGAGTCTCTCAGGCGTGGTGGTGCCGTTGAATTCTAGGATGTTGTCGATTTGGAACTGCGTCCGTAGGGCGGCCTCAAATTCTAACAGCGCCGCTCTGGAAGGAAATATCGCGCTAGAGCGCGACACAATATATTCTGGGAAATTCTTGCGCGAGATTTTGGCAAGGATGATAGTCGTTAGTGACTTCTCTGTCCACTCGGTTGAGCGGTAAAAGACCAGATGCACACGTTCGAAGAGCTTGAGCGGTGCAGATGAGAGCCTGATACAGTCTCCGGTGTGGTCAAGAATCCTCCGCACGAAGTGGCTGTCTCTGTTGGCATTCTGACCTTGGGGCTTGCCATTCTCATTGCCCCAGTCGAGGCCAGTCTGCGTTTGGCTTGCTTGGCGCAGTGCTGTCAGGAGCTCCTTTTTGTTCTTTCCTTGCACCTTGGCCTCTTTCGCCAGGCCCTTCAACTCTTCGAGGAGAAGTAATGTAGATGCTTCTTCCAATGTGGTGATTTCCTCAACTCCCTCCGCGAATCTGAAGGAATCGCCCAGCGTAATCCCTTCCAGAGGTTCGAGTTCCACAGGATAGTCACTCACACATGCCGAAGCAGCCGGGAGTGCACGAACTTGCCTGAGATCGGCGACCGCCCGAGGCAAATCGGCTATGTCCTGATGATACCCTAATTTATTGATCCGATGCCATGCCGCGGTCTTGCGAAGGAAGAGCCGTACATATCTTTGCAATAGGAAGCAAGAAAACAACATAGATTAACATCATCGTTCGTCATGTAATTGGCCAGACTGGATAAGGGAACATACAAATATTGGGCTTCATACGACAGACTTCGCCACTGTCTGAAGACCTCCATCTCAGCTTCGTTAAATAGGTGCGCCTCTTCATCGAGGACAGTATCCAGAGCGAGATTGAAGGCGTCCACATAAATGGAGCTTCTGCCTTTCCGCCATTTTCGTTCTCCTAGCCTTTCTTCGAGGCCGGGTTCTTCCTCTGCTGCTGCTGCTGCCGCTCGAGAAGCTTCATACTCTTCGATAGCCTCCTGGTCTGTCTTGACGGGCGGAAGAGACGTTTCTAGTTCCGTCTGACTGCTCGTAAGATGGTGAACATCATCACTACCATCTGCCGCAGAGGTGTCCAGAAAGTCCGAGGCCGGAATGAGGTTTTCGGATTCTAGGAACGGCATAGATCGACTCCTCTCGCTATCATCTCCTATGTCACTGTCATGTTTGCCTGCCTGATCATTTTGAGCCACTGCTGACACCGCAGTCTCGCTATCAGACCGCTTGATCCGCTTCAATGCGGGGCGCTGCGTCTCAAAGTAGTCCAGCAGGGACATGCTTGCATTTTTCTTTCCCCAGCTGCGTAGAATTTACTCGAACGCGGTTGAGTCAGCATCCCCGGATTGAAGACTAAAGCAGTATAAAAGAGCAGGGGGAAACGAAGTCTCGAGAGCAATCCCACAATCCATGTATCTCCGAGACCCCTCTGGATTGCCAACATAGGCGCCTTGGACGTGTTTGTTCAGACGCGTGATCACCTGACTTTAATGCCTTGGTATTGCTGTTTACAGTATGGTCCGTGACACGGGGGAGTCTTAGTCATCGTATCTAACGTAACGTAATCCACCACCGAGCTGCGCGGACCACCGAGCTGCGCGGCCACCACCTCGGCCACCCCCTATCATCGGATTTATCGCGATTTACCAACGCACCGCGTCATGGCTGATATATCAAAAGAAGGGCGTATGCAATTAGCACTTGAAGCCTATAAGAAAGGTCTTTTTCCATCAAAAACTGCAGCTGCCAAAGCTTTTGACGTGCCTCCAAGGACCTTTATGACACGTGTTAATGGGACTACTGCTCGCAAAGATTCAACTGCAAATTGTCGCAAATTGACAGATACTGAAGAATCTACACTTTCAGCATGGATTCTTGATATGGACCGACGTGGTTTACCTCCACGAATATCAACAGTACGCTATCTAGCGCAATTGTTGCTTTCTGCGCGGTTATCTTCACCTCAAGAAGCTTCTATTGGGGAGACTGGGTAAACCGGTTTATCAAGCGCATAAAGAACTTTGCTCTAATACAGCCGAAAGTACGATATCAGCGAGCTAATGCGAGATC